GCAGGGCAGGGAGGGCAGGGCAGGGCAGGGGAGAAGGGTCGTCCTCCCTCCCGGGAGCCTCACCCTCCCTCCGCCGCCGCCTCCCCGCTGCAGGTTCTGCCTCCACCCGCAGATGGCCCAGGACCTCATCGACGCGCACCGGCCGGCCGCCCACCACCTCCTGGGCATCTCCATCGGTGAGTGGGGCCCCCCTCGCGCCCGAGCCTGCGAGAGGGCAGGGCAGGGCAGGGGAGAAGGGTCGTCCTCCCTCCCGGGAGCCTCACCCTCCCTCCGCCGCCGCCTCCCCGCTGCAGGTTCTGCCTCCACCCGCAGATGGCCCAGGACCTCATCGACGCGCACCGGCCGGCCGCCCACCACCTCCTGGGCATCTCCATCGGTGAGTGGGGCCCCCCTCGCGCCCGAGCCTGCGAGGGCTCTGCGGGCCTGCCAGCTGCGCCTTCCTGGCAGATGGGTTGTGTGGTGGCGGGGGGCTGCCCTTCCCTCCCTCTCTCCCTCCCTCCCTCGGAGCCCCGGGGACCAGACTCTCCAGATGATCCCATCTCTGGCTCCTCCCGGCGCTCCCGCCGTTCCCTCTCTGCTGGCTTTCCCCTGGAAGGCCCCGTGGAACTTTGGACCCAAGCCGGGCAGAAAGGATTCCGGCAGAAGGTTGGCAGGTGGAGTTACCTGGCGCCCCAGGTGGGCCACGGTCCAGGCGGTGAATGCCCTGCTTTCCCCTTCCTGGGGAGGTTTGGCCTCCCTGCCTGGCTGCCCTGGGCGGACCCCGGCTGGCAGAAGAGGGCAAGGCTGCCCCCTCAGCCCTAGAGAGAAAGAGAGACACCAGGAGTGGGAGAAGCAGCTGGCACCGGCTCTCTCCGGGGCTGGGCTCCCCTCCCCTCCCCTCCCCGGGAGCCCACGTGATGGAGCCACCACGGTGGGACAAACAATCAAGGCCATTCTCCTCTCCCATCCATTGAGCTATCCGCCCCCCTCCCTCTCCCCGTCACCCCACTGCAGCAGCAGCAGCACATTCCTCGGAGCAGAGTACGGCCTCCCCACCCCCTCCCCAAAAACCCAGGCTGGTGTCTGTGCCCCGGAGAGGGAGTCCCCCCTCAGGGGCCCCCCAAGCCAGTGTCGCTGTGAGCTGGCCTGTCTCGGGCGCGCCGCAGGAGCCGTGGCTTTCTTAAGCGGTGTCGGTCCGGGGCAGCCCAAACCCGGCGGCTTGGGGTGCCTTGAGCTCTCCACCTGTTTTATCTGGCAGAAGCTGCTCGGCCGCATCTGAAAATGTGGGCTGTGCCAGACCGAACCGACACCTGGCCCAGGAGAGCCTTCTGTGTTTCCAGGGGCGTTTTGGTGGTTCTTGTTGCAAATATGTGTCCCACCCACCCCCGGTGCACACACACACACACACACAGTGCGCAGATGCTTTGAGGGCAGCCCAGAGGCTGGCTGGCTAGTGACTCTATCTGAGGACGGGTGACCGGGGGGGGGACTCTTTGGTGACACCTTGGCTTTAGCGTAGCCCCAGTCCTAGGGCTCAGCTGTGAGACACGGAGCATCAGAAAAGAGGAGCATGGGCCGAGACTTGCTCACGGTGCTTCTTCCAAGTTCTGCATTGAGGGCTCCGGGATGCAGCCTCGCAGGTGGCTTCAGGCCCAGCAATGTTCCATCGCAGCAGCAGCAACAGCAGCAGCCTGGCGATGATGAATGGCCACCGCTGTCTGGAGGGGGGGGAGAGAAACAGGCAAGACCTGTGTGTCCTTTCTCCTCCCTTGCAGGGTATTTCATGCATGACTTTGGGGACATGATCTGCCACCAGAAGGTCCAACAGTGCTGGGAGCTGCTTTTCCATCACTCTGTGGTGAGTCATCTTTCCCTTGACGGGAATGAGGGGTTTGGGAGCTCATGGGATGATGTTTGAGGGCCAGAGAAGATGCTGGGGGGGCCCATCCCCGCCCCCCCACAAAAGTCTGCGGTGAAGCTTAGAGGTGGCTGCCCACGTGCTTCTGGACATCACCAAATGCCTGACGTGGGGGGAGGTTAAGGGGGGTAGGTGTTCTTTTTGAATTCCAGAACATTGGGGGGGGGGTGTTGTTTCCTGGCAAGACCAATGGGGTTAAAGAGGCCACCTTGTCGTGTACCCAGGCCAACGCCAAACCCCACCCTGCCCCTCCCTGCCAGGAAAAGTGAGCCCGCTTCCTTAGGCGGGGCTGAACGCCCAAACTTTGCTGCTTCTCCCCTCGGGCTCCGTTTTGTAACCATGGCTTGGCAGACGATTATATAAAGTGGAGGAGCTGACCTGCATTTCCTTGGGGTGGGGCCGGGCCTTCTCGCCTTGGCTGCCCTCCAGCCGTTTGAGCCTTGGCAGCCTGACCCGTACGGGGAGCACCTGCCCAGGACACACGCTCAGCCGCAGGCTCTCCTTCGGGCGGCCCACCTGGGCTAGCCAGGGCGAAGGGGTGGTTGTGTAACGCCAGCCGTGGCCTCGTTCCCACCCCTCCACGGCTCATGGCTGCGCGTGGGGAGGGATTCCAGCCGCAGCCCTTTCCCCCCCCATGCCTCCCCCCCCACTTCTCAGTCAAGGAGCCCAGCCTCATCTCTCTGCAGGTGGGGGGGGGGAAGGAGGAGCCGTTTTGGGGGAAAGCAGCTGCTGTTAGAACTCCTCAGGCATAGCCCTGTTGTTTTCCACTCCTCAGGCACAGCCTCCTGACAGATACGGTGGCCATGATGGCACGAGGGGGGTCCCTGAGGGTACACGGCCAGCCCCACTGCTTTTCTCCTCTGGGGTGGGGACCTGGGCTGCCGCTGGGTCCTCTCGTTCTTCAAAGGCAGCCTTCCTGCTCCTTTTGCGGCTGCTGCCTCTTCCCAGCCCGTGGGCGCCGCTGGCAGATGGGTCCAAAGGCCATTTAAATAAGACGTCTAATTCCAGCAGAGACAGGGCTTAATCCCCGTGGGGGGGGGCGGGCGGCTAATCCCATTATGGTCTTTCTGCCGAGGGCAACATGACTGGGAAGCGCTGGCTATCCAGTAGAGCCCTTGCTAGGGGTGGGGCTCCTAGATCCTAACTGGGGGGAGGGGGCCAGGAAGCGGGTCTCCTCTCCTTCCTTGGGATCCTGCCTGGTCCACAGGGGGTTAACAGAGGAGCTGTGGGTCCCAAAGCTTGCTGTGCCTTGATTGGCCTTGGTCAGGTAGGCCGCAGATCAACAGGCGATGCTGCACCTCCAGTGCAAGCTGCGCCGCTTGGCGTTTCTGCCTTGCTCGCCGTTCTCTTCACCAGGAGGGGAGAAGCAGGAAAGAGGGGTTCTGCCCAGCGTGCAGCCTTCTGTGCCCAAAGCACAACCTCGCTTGCCACAGAGAGGCGGCAGCCGTTGTGGTGGCCGGGACGTAGCTCAAGAGCCCCCCCTCCCCTCCCCTCCTCTCCGTGTAGGTGATCGTCTGTTTTGGCTTTGCCTTCCTGGTCCACCGCTTTGTGGGCTTCGCCATGGTGGCACTCCTGGTGGAGATCAACTCGGTGTTCCTGCACCTGCGGACGATCCTGCTCATGGCCGGCCTGGCCCACACCACCTCCTACCGGCTCACCAGCCTGGTCAACCTGGGCACCTACGTGGTCTTCCGCATCACCACCCTGGCCTGGATGACCCGCTGGCTGGTGCTGAACAGGGAGCAGATCTCGGCGGCCACCTACGCCCTCAGCACCGTCGGCATGGCCATCATGACGCCCATGAATATCGTCCTTTTCTACCGTCTGCTCCGGAACGACTTCCTCACCGTCAGCCACTGCCAGGACAAGTGACGCTGATGCTGGACTCGAGGCCATGGGGGAGGAGAGAGGGAGAGCAGGCAGGGTTCCGGGAAGGGGCTCACGCGTAGCCTTCAGCTGGGCGCAGAAAAGTCCGCGGCTGCCGTGAGCTGTGGATGGGACCATGCCCCAGGAAGAGGGTGGGCACCCCAGGGCCCTCGGGGGAGCTGACCCTGCCAAAGAAGCAAGAAGGGGACATGGTTTTGTCCCAGCAAGGGAGGTCCTTGAAATGGATCGGCCTCGGGCAAGGCATGTTTGCGTCTTTCCTTGTGGCCCTCAGCGAGTTTCCGTACTGCAGAAGAGAATGGCTGTTCTCTCGCGCCGGACCCTTCTCTTTCCAAAACCTGGTCTGTGAGGCGGGTCTTTGACCACAGAACTCCTTGGCTGGGCGTGAAGGGCTGGCTCCTTCCTTCCACCCTCTGTAATAATCTCTCCTGCTCTGCAGCTGCTTTTCTGCTGGAGCCTGAAAGCAGGAGAGTGTCTGCCTCTCCTGCTTGCTCTGCAGAATATCGTTCCTTGAGGGTCTGGTCTCTGGTCTGCCTTTCAACTCAGCCACTCAGAAACTAGCGTCCTGCAGGTGCCTTTTCCCTTGGACAGGTAGGGGAAGCCTGGGAGGGCCCCCGAGCCTGATCTTGAAAGAGGGCCCCTCAGGAGCCACCCTCAGGGGCCTGATTCGATCAGTGACTGCAAGCAGAGCCATCCCTCCACCCTCGTCCGCTGAGAATTCTCACTCCCATGTGTGTGTCGACCAGGAGAAGAGTACCAAGCCAGCCCAGCCCACCTCTTCCCTCTGGACAAAGATGGGTTCCCATATGGCCACATTCAGCCATGGCCAAACTCTCCCAATTAATCTGACCGTGGTCAACGGTGCAGCTGTGCTCCTTTGTTGTCCTGGAGGCCAGTGCCTTTCACCTGCTAAGAGCCACGCAGGTTTCCCTGAAGCCCAGGTCATTCCATGCTCAGGGAGAGGGGGTGTTCAAGAGAAATGTACGTGACTTACCTTTTGGTTTTGTTAACAAGCCGTATCGATATGTTTGCAGAAAGTAATAACGATAACAATAATAAAAGCAATTAAATGAATGCCGGTGCTTGACTTCCCTGGATGTGCCTTGGCAGAATGTCCTCTTTTACCTCCTGAAGGGGATGGAGGCTTAGTGGTCTTGGAGGGGGGGATGCGGGGGGGGGGAATGCTGTGCCCTCAGAACTGAGTGGTTGGCAAGGCCAGGTGAGCTTCCGCATCACTCTAGACTCCACGTCAGATGGGCCACAGTCCAAAGGAACAAAATAAGGTTTGGAGAGAAATGGGATTGCCTTGGCACCTGTCTTTGGAGTGAAATAGCTCCAGGCGCCTGAGAACGTACGGATTCCAAGGCGGAAACCACTGCAGGGTCGTGACTTTGCGAGCACTGCCCAAAATGTCACGGAGGCCCTGGCCATGCTTTTGAATCCTTTAGCAATTGTTCTTTGCCTGGATCTTAAAATAGGGATGGTTGCCCGCTAGTGGAGCCCCTAGCTGCTTTGCACACCGAGGGCCCCCCATTTGATCCCTGGGGGCCCCTGCGGGCTGAGCTGGGAGCCCAGAAGGACTCTGGCTGCCACCACCCATTGAGGACAGCATTATTTATTTATTTGCAAGATTTTTTTAGATGCGCCATGACCAATGGCCTCTGAGCGGCGGTTGAGGCAAATGCCTTGCCTTCTGGAGGGGTTCGACATGATGATGCCGCCGTTGGCCCGCCCGACCTCTGCCTTGTGGCTGCCTTTTTCCATGTGGACACGGAGATGATGCCCCAGACCGAGCCCTGCTATGGGCTGCCTGGCCCAGGGCTGGGTTTTCCCAGGTGGTGGTCATTTGCGGTCCCCAGGCCTTGTCTGAACAGCAGCAGCACCTGAAAGGGGGGGGGGGCAGAGGGGGGGGGGG